TGATGAGACACAAAGCATCTAATGACTTCCGACCCCTGCTATAGGATTTATGTATACCTGACTCACAATTTCTGTGCTTATCCTCTTTTATTCAGGAAGGCCTTGTGGTGTATATTGTTTTAAAGCATTTGAGATATCTTTTCCCCTCCCACACTATGAGGACTGTTTACAGTAGTTGCAAGTAGTCTCATATAGTCAAACCAGAGGTCAGTAATAGGCATTGCGACACACAAAGAGGTAGCATCAGCATGTGAGCAATAACAGTGGGAGAGTAAAATAAAAATATTTGTTTCATATATTTTTAACATTTTGGTTTAAAATGTAGTGTAACATTTTTCTGGTTTTATTTTTTTAATATTTCAGATGCAGATGGATGTATGAATAGATATAGTAGATGGATGGATGGATAGAGTAGATAGATTTAGAGTAGATGGATGGATGGATGGATGGATGGATGGCTGGCTGGCTGGATGGATGGATGGATGGGTGGATGGATGCTGCATGGATGGATAGATAAATGATGGATAGATAGATAGATAGATAGATAGATAGATAGATAGATAGATAGATAGATAGATAGATAGATAGATAGATAGATAGATAGACTTCCTTTCGTATGTGTTGTTTGAATGATCTCTCTCTGCAGAAGAACACAGCTTGTGACACAAATAGTAATAAATCAAGATATTCAACCAATCCTGCATATGATCCTTAACATTCCATACACCAAACACAACCACAGCGACACTCTAAATCACATCATTAAGAGAAGAAGCTCACTCTCAGTTCCCACCACTTGACAACTAGCTCATATATAACAACAAACAAGGCAATACCAGTGCGAATAATGCTGAAAACAGTAAAAAATAAGCAACAGTGAGACAGCAATTTGCACGATTTATTCATGCTGTGGTGTATGCTGTGTGGGATGGAAAAGGAGGGTGATGTGGCACAGTAATTAACAAGAAAAATTAAGCATTTGCTCTTTGTGTCAACAAGGTTGCCGTCTCCTACTTTTGACTATCAACTTAAAGTCTATTCCACCTTGCAGCTTAAAGGTGCCAAGAACCACCCACTTACTGCAGACAGGACGAGTCTGCCATTTGAATGTGGAATATGCATCAAATGGTTTGTGGAAATTGTATTAAAAAGAAAAAGATATATTTCATTTTGCACATGAAATAAACAACCTTATCCAAATCAGAGACCATTCTGGTATACTTCACTAGTTGACATTTTTTTTAGCATTCCCGTTTTTTGTGCGATAAATCACACTAACACATACACCCCAAAAAGTCCCTCAGAGTTCACTGTAATCCTCCACTTGAGAGCCCAGTGTTTCAGCTTGACTGAGTCCACCTCTGCACACACACACATAACCAGACTCATCCAGTGAAGCACTAATCCATCCGGAAGTTTCCTGGCTGAGGTAGCCTGTACACGCGTCTCTTTATTTTCCAATTTACACGCTTCTCAGTTTATGTTTGCGCTACTGAGGAAGCAGCTACATCTGACAGATGGTGGTGCATAATTTACCCCCCCCCCCCCAACCCCCCATATAAGAACTGTGGACGGTCTTAATATTTTACTGAGCTCTGTCGCCCCTAGCGACTGATGTATTTTTCATCGGGCACTGGGCAGACGGACCTTGGGAGCATTCAGGCCGACGTAGCCTCGGGCAGGACCAAGAGCCTCAGAGGACTGAATGAAAGAGAGAGTAAGATATCTAGATGTGCCTTGAGGGGGTAGAAAAGTACAAAGATAACATAGAAGAGTGATAAATCTGGGTAAAAGGGTGGATAGAATGAAAAAATGAAAGATGAAAGTATATGTGGAGGAAAAGTGTGTCGGGGGGGTTCCCTTTAAATAATTAAGGCTGTCCACAAAGCAAGGGGGGCATTGATGTGTTTCCCTTCAACCAGACGAGAGAGAGACTTGCTTTTTCTCTGTGTCGTCATCAGTCCAGACAACATCAGTCACTGCAACACACACAATCACACTCAATATATGAGATTAGAATACAGTATACATGTCAATGCATTGATGTTTAGTCTACACTTGACTAATGATTAATGATGACATATAATAAGTAATGAAACTTGTAAATCAGACATGAAAAATGTCCAGCTAAAATGTGCATGTGCTGCATGAGCTAATTACATATGCAAGCATCGATTAGGGATTTGCTCTAATTCCTGAATGAGACGTTTATTTTTTATTCATTAAGAAATTGATACTTTCTTCAGTATGCATTCAATTGATCAAAAAAGCCAAATTTATGTTTCAAAAGATTTCAATCTCAAATAAATCCTGTTTTTCAAACTTCAATGAGTCCTGAAAAAACCTTTCACTTTCACATGTTCCACACTTTAAGGAGCACAACCATTTTCAACTTAATTATAACCCAATAAGCACAACCTAATAATAGCGGTTTCTTGAGTATCAAATCAGCATATGAGAATAATTTTCGCAATGTAACGGTAGTTAACATGTATTTTCTTTGGGATTGTGATGCACTATATCGAAAAAGGAAACAAAATGGATTGGATGGAAGTAGATATGAATGTGATTTTGCACTGTAAGAAAGGGGCGGATTTTATGCAGACAAAATGATTGGAGAAGCCCCAGACTTCACTTGATTCAGTTTTGACATTTTGATTAAAAATTACAAGGTCAAAATATAATAATCATAAGTTTGGAAGCTATTTTTTATGTTTTTAAAAGAAGTCGCTTATGCTCATCAAGCCTGCATTAATTTGATAAAAAAAATACAGAAAATAATATTACTAATATATGACAATATCTAATATTATTATTAAAGATTTCTAATTTAGATAAATGCTGTTATTTTGTAAACTTATTATTCGTCAAAGAATCTTTTAAAAAAAGTATCAGAGGTTATAAAATATATATTAAGCAGAAAAACTGTTTCCACCATTGATAATAAATCAGAATATTAGAATGATTTCTGGAGGATCCTGTGACACTGGAGACTGGAGTAATGGCTGGTGAAAATTCGGCTTTGCACCGAAGAAATAAATTATATTTTGAAGTATACTAAAATAATAAAACCAATATTTTAAAATATATTACTGGTTTTTTTTTTCTGTATTTTTGAAAAAAATATATCATCGAGTGAACATTTTATTAGTGAACATCGAGGGGCCATTAAAATAGAAAAGCCCCCATTTCCCAATCTGTAACTTTTCTGCCTGTTTCCGCCTGAAAAAAAAGTACAGTACAGTGAAAACTGGCCCCAGACCAACCAATTATATCGGGGCACAAAGGACGGCATAATTTTTCATCACTTGGAAAAGTTTTCAGAAAAACAACATATCAGTTTGGCATGCTGTCACACTACAATCTTCAGTGCAGTGCGGTGAGATTTGGGGATAAGCAACATCATAGAAAAGCTCAACAATCCACACCATCACATAACACCAAACTAAAAACACTTTGAGCACCTTGTAGCAAGAAATCAATGCACACACATTTTCTTTAAGAGTCTTTTTTATAACAGGCGAAAATGATGATTGTATATTTCACCGAGGTATGCAAACTCACTGCCCCAACACATTCTTATCCTAGGGCATCATATAGTGACGCTTTTGACAATGCGTATACATCCAATACACATGGCACCCTTTAGCGTCAATATAACACGCTTTGGGTTATGGGTAGGGTTAGGGTTAGACCACTAGGAGGCGCCTTCTGGCTATATATCTATATATGTATACATATATATATATATATATATACATATGCGTTTCATATTGACGCTAAAGGGTGCCATGTGCATTGGATGTACGCATTGTCAAAAGCTTCAGTATATGGCCTTGGAATGAGAACGGGCTTGCCCAGTTTACTGTACTGAGGCAGTATAGCAGCCTTGACAAATGAGAGAGATCGAGTTAACGCCTTCAAAATAAAGATCACCGCCTTATTCAGTAAACATTTATTTCCCCCTTCAAAATTACTACTCTCCTCTAGGCATACTGCATGTGTGTGTGTGTGTGTGTGCTTTAGGAGGATTAAGCCAAGATTCAATTAACTCCACTGTGAAATCCAGCACCGGGGGAAATCAGTGTGTCTGAATAAACTCATCATGTCAAATGTCTCCATATAACTGTGGGTAAACAACACACACGCACACACACTTTTACAACAGAACTGTAGGTGTCATTGCAGAGAGAACTAAGATCACCTTTCTCATTATGTGGTAATTTGAGTGTATGTGACAGTAGAGGATAGGGAACATTTACACTTTTTAATGAATTTCTAACAAACAAAACTTTTCCTGCTCAGACATGTCTGGGTTGCAGCATTTGGTCCACCTGTTGCATCACTACACATTTGTGTAGTTAATTTAAGAATTGCTTTTCCATTCCTCATTAACCTCACTATATGATAATGCTAATCCTGCAATTCCTGTCTGACAAAGGAAGATTACATTCCGAAAATGGAGCTAAAGAAAATTAACCTCAATCTTGATAACATTATTCGTCGAACTGTTTCATACCTGTTTGGTTACCAGCATTCTTCAAAAAATTGCCTTTCGAGTTCCACAGAGGAAAGTGATACAAGAGACAGTGTGAGTAAATAATTATTGAATGTTTATTTGTATTGATAACATTATTTGTAGGTAGTGTGCAGCAGATATTTAACAAATATTACCATATTTACAAATATTTAACAAATATTACCATATATGTGATACCATCAACAGTCAACGGTTTTCTGATTGGTGTTGAGTTGACCGATCAAAGTACCGCGAGAGCGACGTGAAAAAGGTCAAACAGGTTCGGGCATCGCGCTCAGGAATCGGGATTCATATCGTCTGTCTGCCATTTCTCACTCAGTAAACGAACAACTCTTTCTAATAGTAGTTCATACGGTGGATGTGTCCGCAATAATTCATCAAAACAGCGCAAGACAAAGTGGAAACTTACTGGCAAATTGTCGACGACCAAACATGCGAATACGATTGATTCTGTTTATTATTTCAACACCTGCGCGTGGAGCTTGTGAAGACCTGTAGGTACATTTCCTATAAAATATAAACAAAACATGACAAGTTTATTATGTTTTGACATGTACATTGGAGTAGCATTATAGGCAGACAGTAACGTTACATGAGAACTGAACTAATTTAATATAGCCTACCATGGTCACAAACGCTATACCTCGACAAATGTGTCTGAAAATGTCAATATGGGTCTATGGCCTCTAAAAACAACAGTTTGTTTCTGTGTGTGTAGGAGGCCTGCCTTACTGTACTTGGTTTAGGGAGAATGGCATTGGTTTAACGTTATATTTATGAATGGAGGTCAGATATTGCTTGGGGAGTTATTTTATTATAATAAGAAGTGTCATGAATACAAATGGGGTGGTGGTAATTTGAAATTTACGGAGCAGGTCTGTTAACACCAAGGTTGCAAGGTGAATGCTTACGAGGAAACTCGGATAAAATGAGGTTAGAAAGATGTCACCACTGCTTAACCCAGATTTCTCCAGAGGGACTGTTGACATATATTGGGATGTGCTAAAAAAAGTTTAGACCAATATGTTTTAGTATTATTATGCATTTTGTTTAATATTGAACTTAAGCTGACATGAGCTACAAATTAGCTTGATAATTCTTGTGATTTTATGAAAGCAAGAAAATCTGACCATTTGTACATTGTCAATGTGTGGATTTTGCTTTAATTTGATTAGTAACTTGGAAAATGAATTCTTCTTTATTTTATTAAACTTATTTTTTGTTTTATTCCAGGTATAAATGAAGGAAATCCCATTCAATGTGATCTCTGAGTTTTGAACTCCTACATTGACCATCCAATCCACCGGCAGATCAGCATGCAAAACACAAATGCGGGTGACCGGCATTGACGACCTTTTCAGTCGGTAAGCAACCACATACCTCTATAATACGCCTGATTCGGTTTCAGTTAATACTTTCAATTGGTTTCTGTCGCCGCAGTGACATTTCTATACAGTTACTACAGTATGTTACCCATGCCATAGTGTCCAACATTCAGAGGAGACCAGAACATTTTGATATTCAGCTCTCAGCTCTGATGTACAGGCCTGAAAATGTGTGTGGATGTTCACGGTGCATTGCTTTCTAATCACCGTGACCATGAGTGGTCATTGGGTCGTTTACAACATAACATGGACTTATTGTTCATAGGCAACATAGGTTAATTAGAAGGGCTTTCCATTGTGTGTGTGTGCACGCGCGCGCGTGTGACCCACAGGATGTTGAATTGAATTAAATGAAATCACAATAACACAACAGAGGAATTTAGTAGAACACAAGATCAGTTACTGTGTGACTAATTTAAATACAGTAGATTTGTATATGAATTTATAGTTAAATAATTCAGTTTACTGTAGTGAAATGACTTGCAGTGGATTGCAGTTGCATTTTTTTCATTCTGTTTACTGCAAGTTTTTGCTCCGTTTTGCTTCATAGATGTGTGTGGTTTTCAAGAGGAAAAATAATAGCAGTAAAGAGGCGAAAAATCCTGTCTAAAAATAAAGTGTCGGCCTGCTTGTTGAAACAAAGGCTTGGATGTGCAGTGATAATGTCCCTGAGATGTGAAATTACATCTGTTTGATTCGTTTTTACCTACATCTCTCTCTCTCATTCTGTCACTCCCCCTCTTCCACTCTCTCTATTGCTTTATTCTTGTGCTATTGCTTTTTAATAGGAAAACACAAAGAAAATGCCCTCTAGATATGCATTTGATGTGGAAGTCGAAAAGATCCTATTATAAGTAACACAGTTTTGTGATATTAGAACACTCCCATGAAAATCAATAGTCCCCTATTGTTTTTGTAAGTGCGTACGCCTCGTTGTGTGCATGTCTGTGGCTGTTTGTGTGTTTACCTCATGGCTGTAGCTAAAGGCCCAGCAGTGTCTATGTTTATTGCATTTTCACTTCTCTGTTCATTTATGGAAAACTGTGCAGAAAAACTTTTATAGTGGAGCAAAACAGCACGCTTCATTTGTGTGGATATTTGTTTCACACTGTGTAGTTTCTGTAACTCTCTGATTGTTTGAGAAAGCCAAGCAGATCTTTATGCGCAGTGAATACGAAATACGGGTTTTGAGTAGATGAGTGTTGTTTACGTGATTTTTATATGGACAGTACTGTATATGAATTCAAATGTTCAGCCGGTTGCACCTGTAATTTGATTTTAAAAAATAAAAATACAGGAAAAATGGTAATATTTAAAAAAAATATATATTACAATTTAATCAAAAATGTAATTTATTTGCAAACAACATTATTTGAAATGGAAATCTAAAAAAAAAAAAAAAGAGAGATTGTCATATTGCATAATAGTTGTGGTTGGAGTCAATTGTTTTATTTGTGATAATGCAATGAAACATACCACATTCTGCGGACATGATATAACCAACAATATAATAATAACTGATTATAATAATAACTGATTACACTTAGTGTCCGTGCTTTTTCCATTGACATGTTTTGCATATTAAAATAAATCCTGTAGCTATATTTTGGCAAATAATTTTGTCAGATAAATCTAAAACATATTGCTTATATTTTGATAGTTTAATCAAATCCCCTTAGGAGATCTCTTTTGTCCTCAACTTTGTAAGGACTGCAAGCATTATAAGTTGGTTTGATTCATGCACTAAAGTTTACTATAATCTCAGTTCCGCCTGTGTGCCTTTTTGCCCTTGAGCAAGGTACCTTATCACGGGATTCTCTAGTGGGACTTTCCTTGCAGTTTAGAAAAAGAGTTTAGAAACAAGGAATAAATGCACACGATCCTGTGGATCTGTAATGATGACTGACTTGTTTGAGTAGTTGAATCCATATGTGGTGTTTTAAACACAGTGGCACAAACAAAGTATGGTTTAAGAAGACGGGAAGCGTGGTCAATAAATGTACACAGGGTTGATAACAGTAGCAGCAGTCCAAACGCAAACTAATCCAAATCCGTAATCCAAAAATCGTGGTCAAGAACAGGCAGAGAAACATACACGTGGCAAACAAACAGGTTACAGAAACACTCTGTAAAGACAGGGTAAACTGGCAAATAAAGTATTATTATTATTATTATTTTTAAATAAAGAACTGTTGTTTGGATGAGTACAGTGTTTTCTTTATTTAAGAAACTCTATATATAAAGGCAAATGTTTTATGTATTTGAGGTGTGGAGAAGTGTGTCTTAAATAGCATGCGCAAAGCATCTTATTATTTTAAAAAGTGTTTTTTTTTTGTTTGTTTGTTTTTTCTATTTCCTGAAAGTATCAGTTATGGACATACAATGTTTGCTGTTTACAGTGGCTATGTGGTCTATTTGCATATATTTTAACAAAAGCATTACAGTCGGCTTACAGTCCACAGCGATGCATTTCAGTTGAGCTTCAATGTGACGTAAGTTCACACTAGACATGTTGTTGTCTTCTGCCTGCACTTGGGTTTAATTACATTTCCAAAATCTTACCATCTATATTTTGCTATGATGGTGAGAAAAAAAAAGAAAAAAAAAAAGAAATCACTGAAATGAGTTGTACTTCATAGGCATGAATGCATTTGTTTGTTTACCTGTCTATATATATTTTTTGTTTATGTTTACCTATTTATATATATATATATATATATATATATGAAGAGTTCAGATGCAAAAGGCTCTAAATGCCATTTGAAATTTTCTTCTAAAATGACCATTTTTATCAAGCTTGTATATTTAAGTTCAGTAATTTCACTTAAATGACAATTAATAGTAGGGCTGAACGATTTTGGAAAATAATCGAATTGCGATTTTTTTTTAACCAATATTGCGATTGCGATTTAATATGCGATTTAAAAAAAAAGTTATTTACCTTCTGTATTAGTCGACAAAGACAAGCAATAAATCATTGTACAGTATGGATGGGAATCTTTAGATAGCTCATGATCCGATCTACTTTTTTTCTTATTAATTAATCTTAATAACTTTTAAAATATGTATTTAATTACATGTGTAAAAACACATACTTTAAAAAATAAATATAAAAAAACATAATTAAAGCAATTACATGTTAAGAATTTTAAATAGGCTATATAAAATAATATAGCTTCAAAATATAAAAGCTAGTAAATAAAGAGAAACAAAAAAAAAAAAACATTACAAGCAATAAAGAAAGAGTGGTCTCTGTATTTAAAAGTAGGCTGTCTGAATGTTTTTCATTCAAGAGCTGGAGTGATTTCCCCTCAGTTTAGATACGATAAGCTGCATTCACACTAATGCATATATCTCTTTTGAAATTGTAAATGTGTTTTGTCCTGTTGGTTTAAGATATAACTGACCGTGTTTACATTAATTTCGCGTCATAAAAGCATTTTGACATGCAAGTACATTTACCAATGAGTCACTCACAGCCGCATGCACGAGCGCTCTTCACAAAGCACGCGTTAGTATTTTAAAATGAAAGCAGCCTTCTAAGTAATTTTCATGGTTTTAATATATAAGCCAACTGCATTCCAAAAGACATAAATAATGCCTCTGTGAAGCATTTGTAAAGAAAATTCCCGCGGGAGAGAACGCGCACTGCAAGTGTAATGTTATAACATCAAGCAAAGCGGCAAAACCTGTTCAATGAAGCTCGCGAATGTCCTTGTAATTCGGTTCAGTCCCGAACTTTATGAAATAACGTTAGCTACTATGTTTTGTAAGGTTCGAGCGGTGTGTGTGTGTGAGTGAGGAAGAGAGAGAGCGAGAAAATAGAAGCAAGCAGATTCAGAACACGGTTCGTTTCTAAAGCACGCGCAGCGTCATCACGCATCTGTGAATATAAACTAAGCTCATACTCGATTCTGAAATTCTCTGAATCGATCCAGGATTGTTGAGGAGAGAATAAATAACACAATAAACTGTTCTTTTCTGAACGCCAGACCGCGTAGCGTGGCAAGTTGATGCTTTTGCAGACTGCTTTTCTCTCGCTTGTCACGTGACCAGTAAAATCGCAGCTCTTGCGATTACAAAATCACGTTTCATCATATCGCGATTTTATCGCAAATGCAATTAATCGTTCAGCCCTAATTAATAGGTAATCTTCATTGCCATTTAAGTGAAATTACTGAACTAAATATACAAGCTTGATAAAAATGATCATTTTAGAAGAAAATTTCAAATGGCACTTAGAGGCTTTTGCATCTGAACTCTCTCTCTCTCTCTCTATATATATATATATATATATACACACACACATTTTTTTTTTCTTCTGGCAACCCTCTTTTCATGCTGTACTGTACAGAGCTGTACTGAAGAGGCCTGTCTACTGCATTGATTGTAAAGATTTAGTGTTAGGTGTGTGTGTGTGTGAGAGAGAGAGAGCGAGAGTGAGAAAGCGCGTGCATTATTATATAAAGATCATGTGGATCGTCATGTGCCTGTGTATTTTAAGGGTCAGGTGTAGTTCAACTCTCTGTACGCACTTCACGTTTGTTCTTTATCTCTGCTTCATCAATATGGAAGATCAAATCTAACATCCTAATATCAAAGCTGCACTGGCGCTGTACTGTGTAAGTGTGTGTGTGTGCGTGTGTGGACAAGATCAATAATAAGATCGGCCCTCCTGCCCCATTCTCACAGATATATAGTCAGTCTGTTCAGTCAAGGGGCAGAGATGTGAAATTGAGTGAGTTGACCTCTCAACCCTTACACGCACTCACCACATATTCATTGTTTATATCAGAGGAGCACACAGTAAGCTTTATTTCATTTATTGGCTTATATGTGCGGTTCAGCTGTGAAAGGTGCACTGAAGATGGGATTAAACGTGTTGTAGATCAATGAATCCAGTGTGCTTGGGATATACAGTAATACTACAACAGTTGACTATGGTACTTGCACGTTTTTTTAAAATACCTGCAGAAATA